TATATATACAGTACTTTCAAGATTATACAAGTGATTTTCTAAAATATATATATTTTACATCTTGAGTTTTTTGTCATGATGCAAAACATGTATTGAAGTCTCACACCAGTTCTCTTACCTCTACAAGTAATTCCATCACCTTCATAGCCGGTCTTACACATACAATTGTATGAACCAATGGTATTATTACATACGGCATTATTACTGCAGTTGTGTTCATTGTTAGGCAAACACTCGTCAACATCTATTAACATAAACCAGGTGGACAATTTATTTAAATATTTATTCTAATCTTGTAAACGTACAGTACAAATAATCTATACAATTAGATTATATTTACTCATAGTGTCAACAATGATATTTTTTCTAAATTCATAAAAACCGATATTTCAATTAAAAGATTAATTCACAGAAGAGTACAAATGAAAAAAAATATATTTGAGTGAAAATCAGTACATTCGTATCGATGACGCTAACTGGAACTCGGCGAAATTGTTAACATTAAAATTACAAGCATACTGATTTAACCAAAGATTATAAATGGTTTTACCCAAAAGAATAATTTTTTATTTTATTGTATGGGTGTCTCTCGTGCTTGCAACTACGGTGAAATTAATGGGAGTCTCCCAGATCCTAAAATGTGTATTTTTTTAAATATAATTATTTGTTATAATTTTTATGGTTTGTAGGACTGAATAAATAGTTTTTGTGATTGTGATTTTATTAAGGTAGTTTTTCGCCGCACGACGTTAAAATTTACTTAAACGTTAGTACACAACATGCAACACAATAGCTCCGCCTCTTTCGTAAACAAATTAAAATACGCATGCGCAAACCTGTAAATAACGTACTTCAAGCACGTAAAATCCTGAAATTAACGTACTCCGCAACGCAAGATGAATAAATTATGACATCATCCGTTAACGTTAAGGTTAAAGTCGTGCGGTAAAAGCTACCTACAGTAGTATCAAAAGGTATTACCGATGCAGATACTGTTTCCATCAAGCTGCTGAAGTCTATATCCATTGCAGCAATAGCATTCGTATCCAGGTACAAGGTTTCGACAATTCTGCTGACAGATAGTTTTATTGTTCTGGCATTCGTCGATGTCTAATTGAATAATTTAATTTTAAAAAATTGTTGGGACTTGAAAGCACATTATATCGAATCAAAATATTCCTTTTTGCCAAGTATGTGATGTTTTAAAAATAGGGATGGCGCAAGGATTTGCCAGACAAGGGGGGGGGGGGGAAGAGGGAAATGTACCCCACGAGAGAAAAGTGGGCGTGGTCGGGCGTGGCTCAAAATCTGTTGAAAGTGGTTAAGGGGGATTAGCCCCCCAAAATAAGATAATTTAGGGGTTTCTAATGTCTTATTTAATCGATTTTACAATCTACAAATATGCAGAAAAGACATATTTTTTCTCTCTCTCTTTGACGAATTGTGGTGTTTCTCTCCAACGAGTGGAGGGGGCGGGGCATTTCTTCCCGACGAAGTGGCCCTGGCCTCCTGGCCTTCACTGGCCACTAATGCCACCCATGTTTAAAAATTGTAAGTAGGCTCTTTATGATGCATGATTTTTAATGTGTTTGTCACCGGACTTGAAAACGAAGATATGATTAGAATAAAATAAATAAATAAAAACAAAAAATGACTGCCTTCTAAACCGAGAGTCTTGTGATCATACCTTCAACGTCAGTCTAAATAGTTATATAAAACTACAGTATTTCATTTTCTGAAATTGATAATAAGAAAATAGTTTGTAGAAAAATGGACAAGTATTTTTCTAACTGACCAAAACACTTGAATCCATCTCCTTCAAGGCCGGTGGGACATTTGGAACAAGTAGCTGTTTCAGAGGGAGGTGGTTCGTCAACACAAGTAACGCCTGGGTAACAAACGTTATCTTCACAAGCGTCGTAATCTGTCCTACAATCAGAACCAGTGTATCCCGGTGTACAATCGCACTCAACAATCTGAAATTCATAAATATTAAATCATCAATCCATGTTTTGCACGCATACTCTGAAAAAATGGAATTCGGATATTAATTTAATGCTCACCCCCGATTGCGCTTACAACCCTATGCTTATTGCAGACATTAAATATCATAAAAATTCTTAAATTATAATTTTATACCATCTGTATAAATATTTGCTCTGTGTGTGGATGCTAATGTGTGGGCATGCTTTAACTGTATTATGACTTTGTTTCTTGAAATATTACTTACATGAATTTAAAATATTACTTTTTATATGCCCATTATTCCTGAACGCATGCACTGCAGTTGGATATTTGGTCTGTCGGATGGTAACACAATAAAGTTTAGCTTATCAGTTTATTTTTTGAGTAAAGGCTAGAGGTCATAGTTCGTTAAATGATTTACTGTGTTTACTTTCCTGTGTAGGTAACAGTAAGTACACTGCAACAATTATATCCTTATAATATTGTATATAGATTCCTAATAGTAATGTTTATCTCTTCATAAATTTTGATTTTAAAATTATAACATTCAATGCAATTTTAAGTAATTTAGTAATTGAATATTTGAAGGTAACAATTTTTAAGTTTTAAGATCAAACCAATTGAAGCTGACATTGACTGCCAACGAAAGCTTGTGTCTAATAAAAATACATTTTTAAAATTAGTCTTAGAGTACTGCTTTATCATTACCTGTTATAAATATTTGTGCAAACACACATGGCTACAACCACTGAAGTTTTTAAGATATAATGATGCAGTTTTGATTTGTGAATTTTTGTTATAATGTGTCTTGTTCTTTCTACTCACTGTTTTCTGACTGTTTTTGTGTTAGTATTCATGAATAAAAAAGTATAAGTCATATTATTATCTCCAAAAGACTAATTATCAACAAAATGAATCTCACTGCAAATTTATCAACAGCAACATTGGATTCAGGTCTTGGTTTATCAAAGATACATTTTCCTTCGTTTTTACAGTCACAAATGAAAACATTCGGTTGATGTGTCGTCGTCGCAGAGTTTTCATCACTGGCAACAAATGCAATCTGCGTCATTGATGTGTCCACAGGTGTCCAAGTAAAGAGACCAGCTATTCAAACATTGAAACATCAAATGAAAAAAATTATTTCTGAAAGTGACTGCAGAATAACAATCATGCATGTCTTGATATCGTAATAAAAATTTCCTTCTGTGTCTACATGCACTAATCAATTCATTCCAACGGTTAAGTGAGCCTAATTCAGGGTTACATATAATAAAATATTTCTAGAGCAATTTTACTGACGTTTACTGATATTTGAGTAGGGTTTGCATTTAGCTAATATTTTCTATTTAATTTTATATTTTATATTCTCGCCTTTAAGTTTCCAAATGTATTGGCTATGCGCCGTGCTATTCTTGTACTTTTTGTTGTGAAATAAGCTAGTATGCCCATGATATCTGTCCTTAAAAGTATTTTCTGTCAGACCGACATAAGTTTCTATTTTGTTGTTGTCATCTTGGCGCAGGACAGTGGCCTGATATACTATTCCTTTGCTTAGGCATTTATTGGATAGGGGGCACGAGTTGCGGATATTGCAATCTTTGACAAAGTCGTCTGTTCGGGTCGTGGCATTATTGAGTACTGTTTTGGTAGAAAACAGTACTCAAGACGACGATGTCAAAGACCAAGACATGTATACAGCCTAAATACTATTAATCTTCTATATTACCCCTATGAATGCTAATAATAAATAATAATAATAATAAGATTTATAAAGCGCACAAATCCACTGCAGTAGTGCTCAAGGTTAATGGCGGGGAACACATGCTGTCTCTTATACACATCTTATATATATATATATATTCACATACATATGGTATAAGTATTATTAACATTGTCATTATATTATCATTGCCACTATCACTGACACTAGCACTAGCACTGCCATTGTTACTATCACTATTATTATTATTAATACTATTAATATTATATATTTATGTATTTATTCATTTATTCACAAACATTAATGATATGTAACAAAGTTACTAAAGTAACTGAAATTAGCATTAATATTTTGTGCAAGAATTGTTTTGTAAAACTCACTAGACTCATTAATATATGGATCGTTCGAATCTGTTAACAGAGAGTAATATACGTTGCCTTCCTCCTCGTCTTCTGCACTGATGTTGTAAGAAAATAATTGATTGACAGTCACATTAAGTTGCTGTGGTACATCATTAAATATAGGCGGGAAGTTTGCTGTTCAAAAATATGAGAAAATAATAAAAATTAGCCTCGAATATAAAATAGTAGGAATACCAATGACATTGGTAAATATTTCCCCTACATTGAATTAAGCAACGAATTCAGTACCGTTAGTTAGTATAACAAAAACAAGATATTGAAAACATTGTCCACCATTGTGCTTAAGTAATAATATACATCGTTTCATGTTTATGCTGTTAGATTGCATTGTAAATTAATAACCTACATTTACAAATTCAAAAATCTTACCAAGTTTTTCAGCAGCATCTTTGTTGTTAGAATTTGTTGCTTTTGTGCTTTTTGCCAGTTCTTCATTATTTGTAACTAATATGTCATAACTACAGCTACTATCACTTCCACATATGTCGTAGATGCTGCGATTGTTCGCAGCAAAAAGGTTTACAGGTAAATCCTCCAAAAATACAGGTAAAAATTTAACATCATTAAATGCGCTCCAACTTTGATTTGGTATATAGTAGAACAGCGATGAATTGGGGGAAGTTCTCCCTGTCGTTTAAAAATATAATAGAATGAACAGAACATTATTGATAGGTAAATATAAGATATTTACAGTCAGTAAAAAGTTTCATGTACACATGTCAATGCCACAGATAAAACAATATCAATCCTTTTAATCGAGCGGGAAAGGAATATTGAGTCTATCAGGGGTATGCTTCATTAAGAATTTTAATCCGATCAGAAGTAAGTAATTTTTCATATTCTGTATATGTGTAGAACAATTTAATTTATCGATGCATTAAAATAACCGAGATAAATATGATAAATTTCATTTTAACGGCAAGACTGGATCTCCAAAAAGATACTATTTTCAAAAATATAATGAATACGATTGTATGTATATACATATACATACACATATACATATACATATACACACACACACATATATATATATATATATATATATATAAATGAGATGTTGCAGATCATCTATGACGTAGAGTGCTCGATATCTCAGATAGAGCTTAATAGAAATAAAACAATAGCAGATGAACTTGGTTACTTCATATCTTATCGCTAAAAATCTGTTTCATATGACCACACAGGGCCACACTCATCAGGCAAATTGTAAAACATGTTATGAAGTAACCAAATTCATCGACTATTGTTTTATTTCATACAACTATACAAATAAATATTATGACAAACATACTATATACAGATGGGAAGCAAACAAATGTAAATAGATCTTTAAAGTCAGCATTTATAAAGTACAAACTATATTTTTTAATAAAGCAACTTGCATGTTTCTCCATATCTGAATATTTCGTTTTCATTACTACTGTTCACTGGCAATATTGTACCATTTGGAAAGGAAAAATCATCACTCTTATCGCCGTTCCAAATTCCTGCAATGGAAATAAATAATATTCATATTTTATAATCAGACTTTCAGTATTTTAGTGATATAATAATATAAAAAATCCATACACAACTGAGTAGAGTATACTTACCCAATAAACCTTTTGTTTTATTCTTGAACGATTCTGGAATGGAAACTAATATGTTAAACATGTCGATGGATGGTGTTACTGATATGGCGAACCCAGATGACCACAGTGCTTCTACACTCTCACTAGTATTACTTGATACTAGCTTCACAGAAAAACCTGGATCTTCTGGTGGGATATAGGGACCTAAAAAGCAAAAACATAATGAAAGTCTTTAGATGAAATCAATTGCTATTTGCAATTATAGTATACTTTTAATGTTAGTTGCAGCATGGAGGTATTATTGAGAAGGAGATCACTCGGCAACAGATCCCTTTGACAGGACAAACCTATGTGTTCCCCGCTTTTGGATCTCGCGCGGCCGTATTACCCTATAATTCACATTTTTTCGTTAGCAACAACTTGGCAACAACATGCATTTATATGCTTCCAGTACAGCAGTTGTGCAATAAAACGTTTGATTTTAACCCATTAAATATCTTTATAATGAACAATGTTCCCCTGATTAGATTTTATTCGGGCTTTTGGTATGTTATTATTTGTAAATTTAGGAAAAAATATTTATGTTAAAATTACTTCTGTGTTCATTATAATTTTGTCTAAAGATTGACTGATTCGACTATAAAGCTAAGTCAGCGTAAAACTGAAAAATATTCATTTTTCGAATAGTTAACCCTCGTTAACCCTAAAATGACTTAGTTTATCATAATCCTTAATCATTTATTAATTAATATCTGTTAAAATTAGAATTGGCGAATTTTGGCCAATTTATGAAAATTGAAGTTGAAATATACTATACTTTTATAGGTCATGTAAATGTTCCATTAAATTTGAAACTTTTCTTGGTGAAAAATATTAATATGTTTGATATTTTATGAGAGATAAATGTATCAGCTTCAAAATAGAAAAGTTTGCGCAGCCATAGTGATTGACAGTATGTAGTGCGCATTGAGAAAAGAAGGTGCTCTCCATTTCGTCATGTTAAATTTTCTGGTCAACTATGCCTGCTGAAAATTTAATGGCGGGGAACACATGGGACTTCAAAGGCATCGCGCAAACGTTCTTTACGCGCTGCGGCAACTTTGATCTTGGTTCATTTGCATAGCGCTGCGTGCACGTAGCTTTGCCGAGTGATCTCCTTCTCAATAATACCTCCATGGTTGCAGCAACAGAGAGATTACAACAATTCTCATGAAGTTGCCATGGTGGTAGTAAGTTTTTACTTTGTATGTGTTGTAAATTGCTGATAAAGTATATTCTGATACAACAATCTGTTTCAGTTTATATCCTGAAAGTTGTGTTAAATCTAAAAAAAAAACAAAAAAAAAAACAAAAAAAAAAAAAACAAGTAGATGAATTTAGCATTTTGTTATGCAAATGACTGTATGTGTTTATATAATTTAATAGGTGTTGAATGAAAGTGTTTATATTAATCTCTGAACAAAATTGTTAATTCATTTGCTTTTTTTTTATAGCTTCCTTCTATTTGTCCAATTTTTTTCCCACTGTTCTTTTATATTAACTAGAAGTTATTATGACACAAAACATCCTTTTCGAAATCCTAGACTGAGTGAGGAGGTTAATACCCGTGATTAGGTGTTTAATTAGCTGTGGAGCACTATAAATGAAATGTATATGTATCAAGTAAATGAATCGCAGCTATTGATAAGTATTTTATTAGGTAAAGTAATTTTAAGTTTTAGTCATCTTTTAAGACATACAAATAAATAAACATCACCATTATCTTACCGACACTGAGAACTGTTCGATTAATCTTGTCCGTCTCATTTAGAAGGATGTCAAAAGTATTATTTTCCTTCAATGATATTTGAAACTGAAATAAATCAAAGACATAGTAATATATTTTAATAAGGTAATAATTGATTAAATATGGACAACTAATGTTACTATTGCACACTTTTTTAACAGTGTATATGGAACCAGTCTGTCCAAAGGTATCATATAGAAGTCATCCTACAATTAAGTGTGACGGCAATGTTTGGAGATAAAACATTTCCAGATCCAACATAATTGACGCTTATACAATATACAGGTTATTTTTATAATATAATAATACTAATAATAATAATACTATTAATAATAATAATAATGATAATGATAATAATAAAAATAATAATAATAAAATAATAATAATAATATTAATAATAGTTACAGTAATAATAGTAGTATATTATTAATAATAATAATACGTAAGTACCTTGGTAGACCCGTTATGTTGTGCAACAAATGCTGTAAAGATTGTTGCATTGAAGTCTTGAAACTTCTCAGTTCTACCCTGAACAATGATAAATTGATCGTCTACATCCACGAGGATGTACTCTCCTAATCCGTTAAATGTGAACTCTACCCCATCTAGTGTCTGTAAGTGAGGATCACCAAACATCCATCCTAAAATGACAAACGAGAATGTCAGTAAACTGTGAAATTTGAAAAATGTTAATTAACAGCACAAAAATGGTAATAATAACAACAATAATAATAACAATAATAAAAAATATAATTTGCATAAGACCTCTTTTATAAAACACTTTGAAGAGCAGAAGCTCTCAAAATATATTTTAATATATATATATATATATATATATATATATATATATATATATATATAGTGCNTGATTATATATTGACGATAGTCATAAACGCTGCAGATAAGGAGAAACTAATACCAGTTTTTGGTGGAAAATAACCATCACATTTTCCTAGAGGGCGCTTTTCAATGTACATATCGCAAAAAGATTGGTCCTGGGAGGCATCACAACAGTAATAGCGTGGGATAAGATCTTCCTCTATTAAAAACAATAAATCATACAATTATTTATATGTTCATCAATTAACAAAATGTAAAAATTAAAAGTTTTACTTATCTAATAACGTTAGGCATAAGCTTTGGTAAAGTGCATTGTAATTAAAGGTGAACATATACTATTACCGTGAAATAATAGGTCTACAAATTCATCATTTGAAATACAATTACAAAGAGTAAACTACAACTAATTGATGGATTGTATTGAACGTCAAACTTATTAATGGAAAATCTAACAATAATGATAGGGAACTCAAAAATACAAATAGTACATATTGAATAAATATTGTAATTGAATACACAAATTGTATATTTTACTTAAATATCGGTCGTATTGATCACTATCCACACCAAATGCTGGTTGAAACTGATGACGTAACATGAAGCTGCTTGTTTGGACCTCATCAAAGCCCTCTATCAATGAAAAATCTTCTCGGTAGCAGCATTGCAAGCCGGCTCCATTAATATTTGTCAATGTGGTGCGCATACAAATGGCGTTTTCTAAATAGATCATGTCAAAATGAATAATAATTTTTAAAAACTCATCATAATATGGTTTATTCTTTCATTGCTACATATCTCTCTACATACAGTGACTAATTAAAAATGTGTCCACTTATGCACCAAGAGCAGATGTATAAAATAGTTTCACCTCTGTTAAAAAAAATGTTCTTAACGTTCCGTAGTATTAAGTATTGAATATCTTTCCTAAATTGACCTACAGACGTTTAGACATGCTGTCTACTAACGGATGAGAATGTGCTGCCTGTTAACCTACTCGTAGTGAAATTATTACACCGGTAGCGACAACTGCTACATATATCTCTTAGAATTTCACAGGAGCACTATAGATAAACTTTTCAGCAGTAATATTTGCTTTTTGATAATGTTAGATAATGAGTTATTATCAATCGTGCAAGGATGCTGCGTAATCCAACTACTGTACAGAGTAGATTTTCTAACACGAAAATATGTTGTTTTAACAACATTAAAAAAATAATAATAATAGAAAAATTGAGTTAATTATCTTACTCATGTGCTTGTTCAGTGAGTCTATTAACGAATCTTCATACTGTTCATTATTTAAACTGACTGTGTCATTACTGGGCGAAAACTTTAGATCTCCACTTGCTTGACCGAATCCACAAGGACAGGAACCTAGATTTTTTTGCCAAGTAATCGGATCTGGTTGTCTATTGTACCATGCCCAGCATTCCATTTTTGGGTTCACTGTCTGATCTGTATTGTTTTCACTCCGATAAATCCACCTTCCTTTAAGGTTCGTGTTTCCATTTACAATATCAGGTTTATATGGCTCTTCTAGCTGTATATTTTCGAACTTATCGTCACGGTTAAAACCAATGATAAGATTCTTATTTATAATGATTGAAGTGTCCCACTGCATTCTCGTCTCTTCAAAATTAAAGAATATGATTCCATAAATTCCGTCTGTTATCAATGCTGCTTGAAATGTATTAGGCTAGAACATAGAAATAAAAATACAATACACAAATGAATGTTAAAATTGAAGTAATAATTTTGATTAACTAATTTTATTAAAGTGTTTCTTCAATTATTACAACACTGTGTTAGATAAGAACAAAAAAATTCAGAAATGTAATATTAAACAATAACTACTTGAAGAATGGAATGATGCTTTATAATCAGGTCTACTTTCTAATCATACGATTTCACAAATCATCACTCCATCCTATATCACCTAGTTACTTAAGTTGAATTTGAAAAAAAAATGAAAACACATATATAAAATGTGGATGTGCGCACGCACGCACACACACATGCACACACACACCCCCACCCACACACACACACATATATATGATATTGAAGGGAGTTAGCCATTACACTACTGTTTCATTTTAAGAATAAATATAACATAAATCATCAAATGTACATATACAGCGTTTAAATAAGGACCCTCCCGAAATACTGTCTCTTATACACATCTAGATGTGTATAAGAGACAGGAAAAGAAGGTGCTCTCCATTTCGTCATG